CACCCTCTTACTACACTGAAGCCAAGAGGGAACCTATGGCCCTCTACCTCCTGACACGGACACTCACCAGGCTCTGTCCTGCACACTATGCTGTGCGAAGTCAGGTGCCCTCTCCAAGATTCCCGCAGATTCCTCATGGTCTCTTTGTCTCATGGTCTCTTTTAAATATAGTTTAAAAATATGTATTTTATTGATTTTTCACAGAGAGGAAGAGAGATGGGTAGAAAGTTAGAAACATCGATCAGCTGCCTCTTGCACACCTCCTACTGGGGATGTGCCCAAAACCAAGGTACATGCCGTTGGCCAGAATCGAACCTGGGACCTTTCAGTCCGCAGGCCGACGCTCTATCCACTGAGCCAAACCAGTCAGGGCTCTCCAAGAAATCTAGATATCACTGTGTTTATGTCCCATGATGGACTCTTTTCTCTGCCTCATTTCCATGATTTGCCATCTACCCCTACCTCAAGCCCATCCACAGGGCTTCTCCCGAAGTTTGGGGTGATGGAGAGGGCTTACATGACCTCATTTCTAGGTGTTCTCTTCCTAAATATTACCGATTTTTCAGATTTTTTAGGTCAGACATGAGTCTCTCTTCAGGCATGCCTTAAGAATCAATAACTTGCTTTATTATGTAGGTAATTTTAGAGTTCCCCTTCTTTCTAGTTCTGGCCCTCTCTCTGCCTGTCCCAAACGCATCCCTATTGGGAAAAATGCAATATTCCCAATAGGTCCCTCCATTTCAGTGGTGTACCATGGGAGTGATGGAGATGAGATTGGGTGCAAGCAATCAGAGAGTGCCCTGTTGGTAACGAATTTAAAAAAAAACAAGAATACACCTAACTAAATGTTGGTCTGCTTTCTATTATCATCATGCACCAGCAATTGTAAAAAATGTCAATGATAAAATACTCCTCTTGAGGCAAGGGAGGAGTGGGGTCTGGATGAAAGAAGATGAATGGAGTAGCCGAAGATCACATAGGCATAGCTCATAGGCACAGACAACAGGGTGGTCATGACCGGAGGGAAGGGGGATTGAGGTTTGGGTGGAAGTGGGGATGAGGACACATGTTATAGTATCAACAATAAAAAAAAAATACTCTTCTCTACTGGGCATGCTCCACTGTTACCCTTGTCCCCGCCCCCCACCCTGCCCCCACCTTGGTAAACACTGCTCCGCTTAGGAACCCAAAGTGGGCAGGCACCTTGAAATGTCCACGTTTCCATCATCTCTGCCAGGGAGTCGCCTTTTCTAAGCATACGGGACGTCCTCCTTCTTGTCATTCTTTCTTCCCTTGGCTTCTATGCGACCACTCGCTCCTGGTCTTTCCCCCTTGACTCTGCCTACACTTCCTTTGTCTTTTGCCAAAATTGCCCATCTCCTTCCCTGAACAAGGCAGGAAGCAGCATTCTTAGTTTATTCTAAAGATCCAGTTACATGAGCAACTCTGGCCCGAGCTTCGCCATGCCAGTGCAGCTGAAGAAACAAGAGAGAAGCACCATGTTCCAGAGAGGATTCCCAGCCCCGGGAGGAGACATGCATCCTAAGAAGCAGCGTGAGGTGAGCAAGAAAGACAGAGAGTGGGTGTGTGTGTGTGTGTGGGGGGTGCGTGGGGCAGTGGGGGCGAAGCAAGGCTGTCCTTTGTGATGTGAGTGAAGCCGGCTCTCCTGAGGTCTGCTGTGGACACATGCTACACAAGAATCTTGTGCAGGACCTTAGGAATGAGAAAAGAGATAGCAAATACTCCATGATAGAATTACATTACTCCATAGCGCAGTGGGAGATGTGAGTGATTTACATAGAGAGGGTGGTGGGTTTCCAGGTCATAACGGCAAAAGGGACCAAGGGGAAGCCCAGGAGCAGGTGAGCAGCCACACAGCAGCCTGGGGGTCTCCCTCCTGCGCTTACCTTGATGTGGTACCGTGTGCGTCCTCCGAACACGAGCTGCTCCTCGGTGGTGCCCAATCTCACACAGGGACGGTTAAGGACACGCAGGAAGCCTGGCCTGCCCAGCCATGGTTTAATCCGCGGGCTGCCTCCTGGCTCAGTGTCCAGCAAGGGTTTTTGTGAGAGGCCAGTGTGTGAAGAGCATCTCCAGCACCGTGGACAGGGCCAGAGTCAGGGCCCACTGGCCACACCTGGGGAAGTAACAGGTGTTGCAGGTATCCCGGAGGGAACAGGAACAGGGAAAATTCAGCTCTTGTCTCGCGTGGGCTTACAGGTGGAGGGAAAGGCTGGACACCCACACAGTGGGCACTAACAAGGCGAGGTTCATTGTCTTCCACTCTGGAGTGGAAGTCTTCAAACCCGCCTTACCCTCCATGAAGTGTCTCATTCGGGGAGACAGAGGCAGCGGCCACTTTGACCCAACATGAAGTGGGAATCTGAGGTCTTTCTAAAAGTGGGTCCTCAGCACCCACTCTCTGTCCACTCCAATGCCTCTCTAGGGTGCTAAATCCCATGCCAGGTGGCCTCAGCCACACCTCTCTGCCTCTATTCCTCCACCCTGTCACCAGAGTCTGGGCATTATAGCATTGGCCCCTGGTTGGCATATGACGTCACCAAATACCCTGCTCCAGTGAGGTTGAGAGCTTCAGCCAACCGCAGAATCCCCGAGTGACAGAAGGGCTGCTAGGCCACAGGAGGGAAATATCCTATTTCTTTGGGCACCCTACCAAGGGAGAGAAAACTAACACAAAAAAAAGATGAAAATCACACAGGATGAGGGTGTTTATGTAGGTATGAGAAGACTATTTGAAAACTCTGAGTATGAGGAGTCCTTGAGAAGGCACAAAGTCCAGAAACCATGAAGGAAAAGATTGCCATACTCTCCAAGTCCTCACTTAACATCTTCGCTAAGTCCCGGACTCTAAGTGAAATGATGTATAACAGGACCAGTTTCATCACAGGAAAACTGATGTAAACAAGAGTCAAGTTCCTACAGCATCTCATTGAACATGATAACCAAACGTCGTTGAACAATATAACGTTATTCGAGGACTTCAGTATCTTTCAGAGAATCTCCTAGGGCTCCCATGGAAGCCTTATTTCCTCAGGCAACACATTCTACTCAGCAGGGATCCCAGCTGAAGCAGAAAGTGTGAGTGGAGTGTGATCCTTTATGTCTGTTCTTTCTTTATTTGCAGTCAACCTCCAGTGACCTCTTGTTGCTTATAGTTTTCAGCTAGTATGTTGTTTCCTTCCACATCTGTAATTCTTTTTCCAGACCTCATTCAGGAAACAAGGGAGTCATGTGGCCATCTCCTGATGAATAAGCACAGATGTTCCAGGTTTTTCCCCATTAATTAGTATTGCTGTGCAGCATTAAGAAAACAAGACCTGTCCGTGTTTCAGGGAGAAATTTCAGTCCTGAAATTCATGTAAAAAATATAGTTTTATCTAGATTTCACTTTGATTCTGTTCGGAGACCCAACACCATCAGCACTGCCACTAATTCCCTAGGAAGAGTGGAAATTTAATCCCAGAATATTGTGGCTCTTCTCTGCCCCCCTCACAGCTCTCAGTCTCCTCTGTGCCATTGAGAATTAACCATCAATTGTCCACAGACTTATCACTGCCTGCTCACTGGTATCAAGTGTCCTAAGATCTCTCTGGAGTCCAAAGTGCTTTGTTAAATTTGCATAGTGTAATGATAATTATATTTTTCCAGTGGGGGTGGGGGTGGAGAATGGGAGAACTCTCCCATCAACAAAATATAAATAGACTTCCCAGTTCTAACAGGCAAATGGCAGGTGCTGAAGACTACGCTTTCAGGGTCCACTGTTCATCCTGTTACTAGAGGCGTGTCTGAACAGAGCAGAGCAAGGGGCATTAGAAACCCGAGG